GCCTCTCACCAGGGCAGAGTCACCTGGAGCAGCTGACACAGGAGCATATCCAGGTGGGTTTGGAATGTCTCCAGAGACAGAGACTCCACTCCCTCCCTGGGCAGCTGCTCCAGTGCTCTGCCACCCTCCATGGAAAGAAGTTCTTCCTCGTATTAAAGTGAAACTTGTGTTTTAGTTTGTGGCCATTGCTCCTTGTCCTCTGCTGGGCACCACTGAAAGGAGCTGGACACCATCCTCTGATACAATCCATGTATGGATTTATATGAAGTGTCATTTTTGTTGTTCCTGTGAAGGAACTCTATCTCCAGCCAGCCCTGTTTCCTGTCTGTGTGGTTTTCCATCCTGCTTTCACACCTTTAATTGTTACCTGTAAAATCTGAGGTGTTGATTCCATATAAAGTCCAGGGTTTTTTTTTGGTTTTTGTTACTTGTTTCTGAATAGTCACCAGTAATAGTGACTTGGAAGTTCGCCCCCTTTTTGTTTTTATATGTATTAGTGTTTAATGCAGGAACCAACTCCTGTAGAACCCCCCTCAATAACTTTTCAGTGGTTTCAGGAGTTAGACTTGATGATCCTTGTGGGTTCTTCCAGCTCAGAATGTTCCATGATTCTGTGATTCTGGGATTTCAGCTGCCATGCTGAGAATGTGTTACGTTTCATTTTACTTATCCTTAACTTACTCTAATGCATCTCTAATGCTTCTGTCACTTTTCTGGCCTTTGGGGAAGCCTGTGATCCCAGAGCTCAGGGGAAGCCTCTTCCTGCCCCCAGCCCCAGGAGCAGCTCACCCCACTGCTGGCACGACTGCACTGTCAGGAGAGCAGAGGGTGGCACGTTTATTGCTAGGGCAGCAGATTCCTATTTCCAGGGTCTCATCCATGGGCAGGCAGGTTTAGCAGGCAGGTTTATCTTCCATCAGCACTGCTGGAGTATTTTAACTTTCTGTCCTGTGTGGAATGATTGTGTATTGTGATATTTGCTCTGATCTCCTCCTTCAGGATCCTTCTGCAGACCCGTCGCAACAGGAAGCAAAGCAGAGGTATAAATGAGACTATTGAATTTTGGTCTGGCATCTAACCATCTTTAACCATTTGTTTTGTTGCTGGGAGAACCACCCACAAAGGAATTGAAATGGATCAAAGATTGGATGCAGGTGTGGCTCCCATGCCATGACCACACTGCCTGAGCCCTGCTGGGGTGGGAGGGCATGATGAGAAAGCAGCAGCAGCTCATTTTCCCTTGGCACTTGTGTGAGTCAGTAACCTCCTGAGCTGCAGTGCTGCAGCAGGGTGCTCTGGGGAGCAGCATCCCTCCCACTGTCACCTGCTTCTGGAAGGCAGAGCCCTTGGCTCCTCAGGGTTGGTAGGAGTTGATGATCCAAGTCTTGCAGGCTGGCAGAACTCCTCCCAAACTGCTGCTTTTTGTCAGTGGTGAGTTTGGGTTGGGTTTGGCTGGTATTGCAGTGGGAAGAGCCTTTCCCAGTTGATTTGATTTTTCTGGGATACTACTCCACTTAAAAAGCTGAAACAAAATTATTTTTCTGGAAGCTCAGTGGGGGAACAGTGTTCAGTATTTGTGCCAAGGGGAGAATTGTAAACAATGTTTGAAGAGCTGACTTTGCACAGTCCAAGCCTGTATTAACTAAAGTTTCATAAACTAAAGCTCCAGTTTTGCAGATACTTATATCAAATGTTGTAAATACATGGAGACTTAGGGAAGTCTCCATGTGAAAGTTCTGAATACATAAATGAGCTTTGCTTTGGTTTTGGAATTGCATGGACAATTCCTTGTGCCTATTCTGCCATGTATTGCCTTGGGGTCAATTCCACGTGGATAAATGCAGGATCTAAAGGGTAGCACAGCTTTTTCCTCTTAAAATGTAATCATGAGCAGTGAGAAGGTGTAAGTATGAAACTCCACCTTGATTTCTTGGAAGATGTTGCCAGCTGTGTAACTTCAGTAATGGGAAATGTCCATAAGAAAAGGACATTCCCAGGACAGGAAATGCTGTAAAAGATACCATGTAAATGGAAGGTTTGAAGTGACCTCAAGAAGCCACTTCCACAAATCAAAAACCTTCTGTAGTTTGCTGTTCTGTGTGTGTTATTGTAGGTGTTTGAAATCCCACTTCTAATGTGTGCTTCACTTTTCCTTACAGAGAAGCAGAGATAAGGAATACAATTTTAGCTCAAGTTCTTGATCAAGCAGCTCGTGCAAGATGTGAGTATCCAAGTAACTTCCTACTAAAAAAGACTCATCTAAGTGACTTCTCAGAAGTGTTGTACAGAGACCAGACTAGAAAAATACTGGTTTTGCTGAGAAGATAAAACTTGCAGCTTTTCAGTTGGCAATATCAGTGATTAGAAGGGAGAGGCTGATGAGTATCTGAATTATGTTAATGTTTTGGGTTTTATTTAAATTAGTAGAAGGAATTTTATGGAGAGTCAAAGTTGTTTAATGAGGAGCAAATATTTAAAAGTAAGAAATATAACTGTCTTGTACCTGGCATAAATGAAAATGGCTTTTTCAATTTATTTCATGACCCTGGCATGAAGAAGATTGTTTCCTAGGGACATTTGCACTTTTTTGTTACTAGTGAATGTATTGGAGAATGTTCTAACCCCAAATGAACAGAGCCTGTTTTTGTTGCAGTAAGCAATTTAGCACTTGTGAAACCAGACAAAGCAAAAGCAGTAGAGAATTACCTTATACAGATGGCAAGATTTGGACAGCTAGCTGGAAAGGTCAGTATGTTTCCTAATTCTTTCTCACATATATTTATTTATAAACCCAATTGACTTTACAGAAATATGTTTATAATAGATGTGAGTTAAATTAACTGTAAATAGCTCCTAAAGACTATTATAATTCCATCAAAGACTATAATTCCATCAAAAACCTTTTGTAAGAAAGGAAATGGCAATTCAGTTTGATACTCTCAGAGTGTGTTCATCCACATTTTGTTTGACTTTCCTAGGTATCAGAACAAGGTTTGATAGAAATTCTTGAAAAAGTGAGTCAGCAAACAGAAAAGAAAACAACAGTGAAGGTGAGTTTTCTTTCCTAACTGTAGCGTTGTATAAAGTAGAGCAGCAGAATTGCACGTGTGGGACCAGTTCAGGGTGGAAGTTTGTGTTTGCACCTCCTGCCCTGCCCTGCCCTGCCCTGGTGGGTGCTGGGGTTCCATCAGAGCCAGTCCTACACACCTGCAGCTCCTGGGGCCAGCATGGGGTGGGCCAGGCAGGGCCTGGGGGGTTCATTGCCACGTGCATGGACTGGGAAAGGCTTGTGCCAGCCTGCATCTACCATGACCCTTCAATTTTCACTTTATCTGTTTCATTCTAGTTCAACAGAAGGAAAGTCTTGGATTCTGATGAAGAGGATGATGATTATTAATACTACTGTAAGGCTGCCAAACAATAGCCTGGAAAAATGCTGTTAGCAGGCAGAATGCAAGATCTGAAAATGTTTACGCTTCTTGACTTTTTTTTTATTATTATAAAAGGCCAACAAATAACTTGTAAAATAAATCTGAGAAGGGGGATTTTATAACTTAAAGTTTTGTAGTATAAGAGGCCTGAGCAGTGTGGGGTTCCCCATGGCTTCATTAGCATGAATGTTTTGTTGCCCCTTCCTCACTGTAAGCTCTGCTTTCAGCCACTGCACACACTTAACTTGCTGTTACTGGAGATTGCAAGCACAGGAGCCAAGTGAAACAGGGGACAGCCACTCAGAGTTCAAGTCTGTCCAGCCTCTGTCACAGAAGTGTTAGAAAGGAGATTCCCTGAGCCCCTGGAGGATGCCTGTCCAGCCAGCCACCGGCTCTCAATCCTTACTGGAAATGTAAAAATGAAGGTATCCAAATAGTGTTTGGATCAGGGGATTCCTATCAGGCAGTCTGTGTAAAGAGACCTTACCAGCAAACAGCTGAACTGTTCCCCTGTCAGTTCCTGGCTTTCAAACAAAGCAAGTTAACTGTGTCATACACAGCACTGTTCAGACACCTGGTATCGTGTATTCTTACAACTACCTCCACTTTTATCAAATGGCTGGAGAGTTTCTTACCTGGAAAAAAAAGACCATTTCCTAAACTCTGCAACTCCTGCATGCTTAAAGTAAAATTGAACTTGTGCTGTACCTTTATTCAAGAATATGGTTATGGAAATCAGTAGGATGAATACTGTAATGTGCTGATAAACTCTCCCACCACAACCCCCTTATCTGACATAATTTAACAGGATCGTGTATGATTCCAACTGCACTGTTTTTTGGAACAGAATAAACTTGTTTCAAGTGAGCACTAGTGGGTGTGTTTTTCATCTTGGCTGAATGTGGTTAAAAATAGGCAACATTTGTTATTTTTGTTTCATTTGGTTTAGACTGTGCATTTTGCTTCTCTGTGTTTGTAATTAGGATGCCTTAGCTTTAGTGATACCCTGAGTGTGCCAAATTTCTTCAGACTTACCACCCTTACTGAGTCTGAAGCCAAAGTTTGGTGAACTGATTTTTCTTATCTATATGGTTGAGAAATCTGAAGAATAATTTAGTTAAATGCATGCTACAACAAAACACAAGCAAAATTCTCACTCTGTAATTTGGAAATCACATTTATAATAGTCTACTAGATCTTAAATATCTGGATTATTCTTGCTACAGGTAAGGACCAATGACTTACTCTGGGTAATCTTTATAGTGTCACAAGAAGGAAAAACCTGTTTTGCCTCTTTCCTTTTGTGTCTTTTGACTTGTAATAGCTGAACATTCTTTTTTTTTTTTAATTTGAACGTAGAGAAAATGCTGAGTTTCACTAACAGTTCTATTTTGTACACCTCTATGCATAAATCTAAAACCACACAACCTAATAAAATTATCTGTAAATGTAGGAGGAAGGAAAGTCCAGGAGTAAACACAAGGTAAAGTCTTCAAATGCCTACAGAACCAAGCAAGAAAATCTGTAATAGAGTCAATGCTTGGACAAAAGCACTCAAAGGAAACAGCATTTTCAAGAGTTCTTTTACTAGTTTTTTCTTTCCATCATTTGGCACAAATCCAAGGCACATCAGAAAATCAGATGAACTCATAAATTATTAGAAAAATAAACACATTACCCTCAAATCCAAATGTCATTTGACATTTTACCTCTTAGATTAAAAAGTTATCTGAAAAACCCAGCACTCTTATCTTCCAGCTTTGTATTTTGCCAGGTAATTTACTAATACCACAGTTAAAAGAAAGAGAATTATGTATACAAACAGTTCATGAAATAAAATGCAAGCTGGATGTGATGAGCCAAGAATAAAAAAATACTGCACTGCAAAACCTGGCTTGTGCTATTTACAGATTTGCCTCCCATAACCGAACAGTAGAAAATGAATTTCAAATCCAAGCAGCACTGGGTAGTTCCCTCAGCTTTCAGTTCTTCAGTGATCACCCCTGGGAATGGGGCAGGATTTGGCCTATTCCAGCCAGTGCTCACTGGTGTGAGAAGTACCTTTCATAATGGCAATTTCACCTTTTTAATAGCAGTCCAGAGCAGGCTCTGGAGCAGCTTTGTCTGTGGATGTTGCCCAGGATGAGAATCATGAGTAATTGTGCATTTTTGCATTACTTTAGAGGAAGGGAAAAGCAACTTAAATGCATGCCACAATAAAACACAAGCAGCACCTTGTGCTTGCTTCTCCTTTTTTATTAGGCTGTGAACAGCAAGCCCAAATTTAGCTTTGTCAAGGGCTGTCCACTTTTTCCCCAGTATCTTAGCTCCTCTATAAGAACTTGATCTTGCAGCTCCAGTAGAGGGGAGCATTGCTGAGATATTAGCAAGGATTACATCCCTTCACATTGCTAATGCAGATGTTATGGACTATTGTTTGGCCAGCTACTGAAATATACAGAAATATATACTATAATGGTTTGTAACATTACAATAAAAATAGAGACATTTCAATTACCTCTGGCAATAAATACCTTGTTATCCAATATAGCTTTTTATATATATAAATATATTTATATTTAATTCTGAATGTAGTGATAAAAACTGAAAATGCAAAAATTATTCAAAGACTTTTAAAACAAAGTGGGTGGCTGAAAAATACAATACAGGGTTTCATTTGGTTTACTGTTACATAGAACTTTTTAACAAGTGCTTAACAGAATAGGAAAGTAATTTTGCTGTCTTTACCTCGATACATCCCTGTTAGTGAGATCAGTAATGATCTGGCTGTGTGGTCACCTCCATCATGAACAGAGGAGTCAGGCCCCAGGGTGCCAGAACATTCCAGCTGTGCTGCAGAGCCTGTGCCTGCTCTGAACTGGGGGGTGTGAGTGTCACCGACAGTAACACCCAGTGAAGGGCTACCGAAATTCACACCACCACCGACTTCCTCAGCTCCGGCCTTCAGAACCGCGCTTCCCTTCAGTGATGTGCACCCGAGCCCCGCCAGTCCGGGGACTCTGGCACCCCCGGGGCTGCCGGCCTGCAGGAGCCGCTGTCGCAGGAGCCGCTGTCGCTGCCCTCTGCCGGCAGTGGCACATTGACCCCGCTGTCGCTGCCCTCTGCCGGCAGTGGCACATTGACCCCGCTGTCGCTGCCCTCTGCCGGCAGTGGCACACGGACCCCGCTGTCGCTGCCCTCTGCCGGCAGTGGCACATTGACCCCGCTGTCGCTGCCCTCTGCCGGCAGTGGCACAGGGACCCCGCTGTCGCTGCCCTCTGCCGGCAGTGGCACATTGACCCCGCTGTGGCTGCCCTCTGCCGGCAGTGGCACACGGACCCCGCTGTCGCTGCCCTCTGCCGGCAGTGGCACACGGACCCCGCTGTCGCAGGAGCCGCTGTCGCTGCCCTCTGCCGGCAGTGGCACATTGACCGTGTGTCTGCGCTGCAGTAATTTACTCCGGGGAGGAGCTGCCGGGTCCTCATCTTCCACAAACTCACCGCTGCACCCCGAGTCAGTCACCTGACCTGTGCTCTGCTCCAGCATTCCAACAGATCTTAATTTGCTTTTATCAAAGCTTTTAATTGCCATCTGTGAGGAGAGAGAAACGGTACGTTAAAAGCATCTGCTTTCTTAAGAAGGAAAACTCATATATTGTTTCTTGAACATAATTATCACATGAATTTCATGACACTGAGAACACAGCCAAGATTTAAAATAGTGTACTTTATAAGAGAGTAATTCTATTTGGGCTACATATGAGAAAACAGGAGGCCAGCCAGCCCCAGGCTAAAGACACATCAGTACCAGACCTGAAAACATAACAGACATTCCAAAACTTATTTTCACCTCACTATCCCAGCAGCATCCCATCTCTTCTAAACACCTTTTGTAATCCAAGTCCCAATGCACTTGAAATTAACAGCCATTTATTTTACTATTAAGAATAGTAAATTACCAGAAGAAAGTAACCAGAATAACCAGAAGAAATAACCAGAAGAAAGAAAGAGAATGCAAGCATGCTAATGACAGATCTTCTAAGACAAGAACGAAAGGAGAAAGTAGCTTTTTACTGAAATAATGCCAACAGTCTTGAAAAAGCTGCAGACAGAGGTTATTTAAATCCACATTTAAATCCACTAACAATTCAGAGCTGTAGGGACTCATGAATTAGTTCAGCCACAGTGGTATGAACTCACAACCACAGAACAGAGCTTGAGTGCTCTGTATCATGGTCACATATTAGTTTTCTGACACCTGTGTACTGAAATGACACTGCCTTCACTGATCCACAGTTATAAAATGTAAATCCCAGGTTAAGTAGTGGAATATTACCATTTAGACAGAATTAATAAAATATTACAGCTTTATAGAATTAATTTAGTATTCTCAAGGCTTTTGGCAAATACTCAGCCTTCTAAGGGCTGTAGGAAGAGAATCCCATTTTCCAGAAGGACATGTGCTGCAGAGTCTGCATTTCCAAGGCTATGTCAGTCTAGAGCTGCTGGACTAACCTGGTAAAAACTGTTTTGTTTTGGACAGCTCATTTTTCTCTTGATTTAGTGTTGTGAAATGGCCTAGCAGAAGCTGCAATGAGAGTCAAAGCCAGTGCAAAGGAGGCAGAAGGAGCACAAGCTCTGGGGAAGGCAGCATCCAGCAGCTGGTGTGGGTGTCACTGCACCCCAAGCAGAGGTGAATTTATCACATACATTTGTGTCACAGCTGCCAATGCAACATGCAGTTTGCTGTCACCCTTGCAAATAGTCTCCTCTTACAAAGCAAATCCCAATTTCAATCTACTGAAAAATGTCTCCCTTGCCAAAGCAAGATACAGCTCCAAGATGCTGCAGAGCTTTTTCAGTTCTAGGTTTTGCTGGACAGGACACAGAAAGGAAGACAGAGTTGAAACCTGCAGTAAGAGGTTTAAGAGATTCAAAAGAGTGAAGTGTTCAAGAGGTGTCATAGAAGCAGTACTGAAGTTTGGACAATGATGAAATTTGGCAAACAGGTCAGAACTTCTGTGATTCAACGACCACCACTAGTAAACTTTCTCTTACAGGTACCCAGAGTAATAGCAGAGCAAACAAACATATTTGCTGTAATATAAGAATAATCTGAGCAAGTATTTCCACTTACCTGGTGCAGTAAGTGATAGTCAAAATTAGGGACACTTTTATCTCTTGTTATTGTTCTCCGTAAGTGTTTTTCTCTAAAGAAAATTTTAAAGAAATCAAAGAAATCAGATGTCTTCACATAAGCCTTTCATAAAAGCCTCTCTCTCAGAAGCTCCACAAGGTGGAACTGTGTCACCAGAGACAGGCAGCTCCCTGACAATGCTTTCCCAGAACTGCAGCTACTACTATTCCTGTATTTTACTATGGAATATTAGGGCTTAAAAAGATACTGAGCAAAACCCAACCAAGGAGTGAACACCACTACAGTATTTTTAAGCAGTCTGGCTCTGAAATGCTTAATTGATGGTACACCAAGTATTAGTGCAATTTTAGATACATTTTCAAGCCCTCCCTCTCCACCCCAGTGAGCTTGTCATGCCCAGAACATCTGCCTGGGGATGTGACCGTGCCAGCCCTGCAGGATTGACATCCACTGGCACACCACCATGCCATGTGTAACCAGCCCTGACCCACTTTGGGCCTTTGCTAGCAGCAGCACTTCTCCTTTGCTTATGGGAAACAACAAACCCACTCTGAGCAAGCTGCTCTGCTTACTTGTTAAATCTGTTAATTGATTGGACCAGTTGAAGTTGTCTGCTTATGGGATCATCGGCTTTCTCACAGGGCTTAGGATGCACTGGGGGTTTAAAAGAATAGCTAAAATTACAACTGAGTCTCAGGAATTAAAAAACACAATTCTGATTCTAAATTGAACATAAAACTATAACAGTGCTGATTTGAATTAAAGTGGTGATTTATCTTTGGAAATTTTAAAAACTTTTAAGTTGCAGATAAAACCGGCCAAGCCTCTGAAGAGACTGTAATTCTGGACTTTGAGGCAGTTTTTACCAACCTGAATTAACACACAGATGCTAAACCACTCTTCATTAGTATTACTCATATCTTCTATTGCTCTTTTAGAACTATTCAAAATATTTGAAAGAACTATTCTCAATTTTAGGTGTCAGCACACTGTGATTAATTGTGATTTTCTATTAAGCAGACATTCACAACCTTTCTGAGGGAAGGAAGCAGGAGTTACTTTGAAAACTCATGGGTGGTGAAATGGGCAATCATGCTGCCCATCTACCCTGATTCCTGCTTTGCAGCCTCCCTGTTTTCTTTCTACAGTCCTGGTGGCATCAGGTCCTTTTGCTGAGCAGTCCAGCTCAGGGGGCACAGCTTTTCTACATCCCCAGGGCAGTGAACTTGAAAATTCACCTGGAAAACTTCTGAGGCAGCATAATGGGAGCAGTGGATAAGGCAGATCAAAAGCTGGGGGCGAGAGGTGAGGAGGGAGAATCTGTGGTCCTTAAGCTCCATCTCAGAGGCTGCTTAGGCACATTAAGATAGGGCCATGTGTCAAATCCTTTAAGGAATGAAGTAACTTTGCATCATTGAATACAACTTATAATGTTATTGCTATTAAAAAAGGGGAAGGTCAGAGTTTACACTGCAAGATAAAAGGTATCAAAGGGATGGTAACTCATCCTTCCCAAGGCACCAGGGCCCTGCTGCAGCCCAGCTGTGCTGTCACTGCACCTCATGGCCACACTGTGCCACCTCCTGCCACTTGCTCCAAGCCCTCTGCAAACTGTGCTGGAAGGCTCACAGTCACCTCTGTAGCTCTCATTTCTGTCCCAAAACATGAGAGACAGTAACTAATGAAGAGTCACTCCCTGACGTGTTTTAGGGCAATATAAATGACACACAACAGTCATTTAAATCTGTTCTGCTTTGCACAGAAAAATCTGTTCTGCTCTGCACAGTTCCTACATGGCTAATTATATAATCTCAAATGTGGTGTGTTTTTACCTTTAAAAGTTTTTGTAGGTAAAACTCACACATGTACCCCAAAGTAGGTGAAAACTAAGTTTAAAGCAATGTCATGAGTAGAATACAAAGTCTGCTGCATTTAGTTATAGTATTTTAGGTGTTACCTATCATAAATATGAAAAATAATTGTTCTATTATTGTACATATAGCAATTACATCAAATATTTGATATAGTCACCTGTGAATTCCTAAATCCCTTTTTATTCATACCAGTGGAAATATCACAGGTACCTTTTTTCCTTATCTTGCCAGTCATGTGCTGCTCACTCTCCTTCTCTCCCTCTGCTGATGTGGGGGGACAGCTTGGTGCTGCTTCTAGCAACTTCATGATGTTTGAATTCTTCATTTCAAGAGTTTCCATTTTCACCATTATTAAAGAAAAAGAAAAACAACAGTACATTTTAGTATTTCAGTATGTGCAGAGTGTGTTAATTAATGCTTCTATGAATCAACACAACACACATAAAAGAACTCATTATAAAAACATATAATTCTGAGTAGGGACAAAAACAGTGTTCCACAAGTTACACTGTAATGCAGTGATGATGTTGGAGTCCTGACCTCTTATTTTAAGCTGTATTACTTATGGTTAAGCCAATTTCAGTTTAAATGGTAACATACATACCAAAATTGATTCAGTACAGAATTTTGTGGTCATTAAGCTACATCTCAGAGACCATTTAAGCACATTAAGGAGTCCTTTAAGGAGTGAAATAATTCTGTATCATTTAATATTACATATAATTTTATTGCTATTAATAAAGGGGAAGGTCAGGGTGATCTATTGCAAGAGAAAAGAAATCAAAAGCCTTGAAGGGCAGAAGATAATGGGTGGGACAAGGAACATTGCTGCCTGTGCAACTGATCAGTGCAAGGTGTTCATTTGCCTACATCCAACTTCTGCTCTCTCTGCCATTACACAGATTTTTATGTTCATTTTATTTAGGTCTGTGCTTCCACTCCTTCTAGACCCATCCTTTTAGTCCAGGATAACTCCTTCTAGAAACACAACCGGTTTCACAGGCCACTGGCACCATGGCTAGGCTGCACAAGGAACGGCGTGTCAGTGTTTATACCCCCTAAGAGCTGGGTGCAGCTCGGCGTGCGCAGCTCGGCGTGCGCAGCTCGGCGTGCGCAGCTCGGCGTGCGCAGCTCGGCGTGCGCAGCTCGGCGTGCGCAGCTCAGGCTCTTTCCCCGTGCCCTGGCAGGCCTGGCAGGCCGTGCAGCACTCACGGGCTCGGCGCAGTCTGCGGCGGTGCAGCCGCGCTCGTCGCGCAGGTGCCGCAGGGCCCCGTGCTGCAGCAGCAGCGCCACCAGCGCCTCGCTCCTGCCCGCCACGGCCTCGTGCAGAGCGGTGCTGCCCTTGCTGTTGGAGAGGTTCGCCGAGGCTCCGTGCTGCACGGCAAAGGGAGAGCACAGTTAGAAAGGAGCAGCAGCCCCCGAGCTGCACAGGGCCTGGGGCAGCTGCACCAGCACAGCCACAAGAACCCATCTGGCCACGTTATTGCCCCATCCCCTGGCCACAGTTTCATGGATCAGCTCATTTTGGTTTTGCGTATCTCTATTACATATTCCAAGCTTTAGAGATACTTTAGAAACCCCCAACCCTATGTGACAGAATCCCAGGAGAGAAAACTTGCCACATAAAAGTTCCATAAAAACAGCTACCTGCACAATAGCAAGGTAATATTTATCTAATAGCAAGGTAATATTTATCTAAAATTTATCTAACATCTCTGAAGGGAAGAGATTGAAAGGAATAAGTTAACAAAAACTCTTATTTCTTTCCCCAAGTATTTTTGACAGAGAAAATGCATAACTAAAAATACTGATCCTGAGTACTGGGTAAGTACAGATATCACATGAGAAATACCAGCAGAACACTGTCTTCAGTGATCTTACCTGCAGCAACAGGGCAGTCGTCTCATAGTGACCATTCAAGCATGCATAAATTAAGGGAGTATTTCCATATATATCCTTTTTATTTTGCTTAGCATTGTAATCCATCAGACACTTTACCACCTATTGAAAGAAATAACAACTTCAGTCTTACTGACTAGGAGTACTGAGTTACTGAGAATGAAACTAATTTTCATATTTTAACACCCACTTTTAAAAAAGAAAAATTTAAGCAACTCCAAGAAAGGCCAGAAAATAAAATTCAAGGTGTGTGAAAAACAAATATAACCAGTAACTTAACAAAACATCAAAACCAAAGCACCACAGCAGCAGCACCCTTTTCCAAACTGATCACAACACTTGGAAGGAGTTCTTTATACTGTAATTACCCCATGAACTAATCTACAACAATCCCACCAATTAGCCTACAACTCTGAGTTGTATTCTTGGTTTTTCTTGCTTCCCTAGTACTTTGTCTTCCTATCACTTCCAAAAGCCTCTTCTTTTCCCTCCTGCAGTCTTCAGCTCCTTATTTTTAAATAATTTTCCGCTTTTCTAATTTTCCTCATTTTCTGCTTTTCTTCATCTTTCCATTTGCCTTTTTGCCCCTGCTTTTTCATGTTTGTTGTTTTCCTGCCTCATTTACTCTCTCTCCTGCATTGACACCCTGCCCCCACGGGCTCATGCTTCTCCTTCACTGCTTTTGCTCCCCTGACTTGAAGTGAGGGATGAGTTATCTGCTGCCTCAAAGCTGCACTCGCCTCATGATCTAAGTAAGGAGTTGAATCTACAGTAACTATTTAGTCCTGTGGCTACTGAAGACACAAACATGACAGAGAAGAAAGTACAGAGGAACGTATACACAAGATTCAGCTGCACAAGGGATGCTAAAAGCGTTTGAAATACAACAGAAGGTTTTTGCACCCCTTGCATTAAACCAGTATTTGAAGTCATGCATGCTTATCTAAGTCATATATGCTTTCATAAAGAAAAGGTGTCTTCTGAAACAATTTCAGCTCAAAGTTCCCCTTTCCATCTGGAGATTTTAGACGCTGTAAACAAAAACCAGAACCGCCAAACTCATTTTCTCTGCTCCTGGCTTAGCGTGGTTGCCCATTTCCCCAGGCAGCTCTCCATGGGTGCCAGGGGGCTTTGTGCCAGGCAGGTTACCTGGGAGTGTCCCCTCTGGCAGGCCAGGTGCAGGGGAGCTGCCAGCTGGGTGTTCTTGGCGCTGGCGCTGGCGCCGTGGCGCAGCAGCAGCGATGCCAGCTCGCTGTGCCCGTGCAGAGCAGCCATGTGCAGGGGGGTGAAACCATCCTGGTTGGAAACATTCACCCCCAGCCCGTTGGCACAGATCTTGGAAAACTTCTGTTGAGGAAAACACACAATAGAAGTATAATCATGCTTTGTTTTAATCAATGAAGTAGCCAAATACCTGCTAAGTTTATTTAAAACGGACAGATGGGCATTACAAGAAATTCTGCTGGAGCCTAATTAGAGGCCTTCAGAAAAAGTCAGTGAAGAAGAGCAGCTTGGTAGTGTTTTTTCAATAGAAAATTACTTTTATTGCTATCTCTTTTCTTCCAACATGATAACTTCATGGAGAGCAATTCCAGGCAAAGTACTCACAGTATTAAAAAGAGGCTAAAGCAGCACAGTTTGAGACAAAAGTAAAACTGAAAGTTTTTATACAGCTGTTAGGATGCTCATACTGGATATGAGGCAGTGTTAATGAGTTATTTTGATTTATACAGCTATTTATGCTCTTTGAAACAGACAATAAACACCTCAATGCTACATGAAGCTTGGGGTAATAAGGATACAAACTAAAATTAATTTAATTCACTTGGAAGCAAGAGAGGCCCATGGAACAGACTCCCCTGAGGAGAAAGGATAAGGAAAGCACCTGGAGGACAGTTTACCCAGCTGTACAGAACATCCTCTTGCACTCCTCTTGCAAACTGTGCCTGCCTGACATTCACAGTGGTGCACAGCCTTCCATCCTATGCTTTCAACGTGTGCCTGCCTAGCACAGGGGTTAGGATTCATTAACAAGTTCCTTCTTCTTCTCACTCAGCAGACAAGTAAATTCCACAGCAGATGCCATTTCCCTCCCTGTCAGCAATAAAATGAGCTTTATGGACTCCAGCTCTGGCATCTTTAGCACTTGGTCCCTTGTCCTGAGGGCACAGGGACAGCCCTTACCTTAGAGAACAAAGCACCGTGTGAATGGGAATCCTTCAAGTACAACAGCACACTCTAAGCCTGCACAAAATAAATGTGTGGTGGCAGTGGGGAATTCAGAAGTTAAGCCATCTCACAGTGCTGCTAACTCCTAAGTAGCCAATCAACTGAAATTTTGCACTTAGGTTTATTTTTTATTTTTATTATTGCAATGACTTATCCAGTCCTGTACCCCTTCAGACACCTCCTGGAAGGCAAGTTATGGAATTTCTATTTCCAAAAAGCTGTTCATTATGCAAAACAACAACAAAAAAAACCCCAAACCAGAACCACATACACACACAAACCCCCAAAAACCCCAACCAAAAAACCAAAGAAAAAGTGTATTGTAAAGCCTCATTCTATTCTACAGAGTGTGGTAATTTAGGGGGGAGGAAATCTTTGCAACTGAAAAGAAAGTCTTTGTAATTATTTCAGATCTCTGAAGAGACTTTAGATGTGGCTTGGAGAAAAGATGCCAAGCAATTAAAAAAAGACTTTATCAGCATTACATGGATTCTGGATTAGCAGGTATTCCTTGCTGAACTGATTACTAACAGGTAAGTAGATATGCTGTGCCAGTAGCAGTGTCAACTGAGGAGAACCAGAGGCTTAGAAAAGAATGAATGTTTATTCAGAGTGGCCCAAGCCTTCCTGACAGCACTCCACATATCCTAAAAACAAACTGTAAAGCTTTCTCAATCCATTAGACATTGTGCAAGTCCATAAACACTGTCCCTGTATCCAAAATTTTCAACAATTCCATTAAAAAAGAACAATTTCATACCATCAGATGAAGTGTGAAAATCTGTATATAGTTAATTTTTTTTTTTAGAAGAGAGACAGAGGTGCTGGGCAATATGAATGTTATTTCCCTGCAGCTAAAACTTACATTACAAGAATATAAATTATTCTTTTTACAGAATAAATATTCCAACCTTTTGCGCTGGCCCACATTTTGAGCACTGGCATAATGGATGGCAGAATTCTGGTTTTGATGTACTGGCTGTGTCATCCTCATCTTCCAAGTCTTCTTCCACCCATTCCAAGAGATAACGGACCTGGCATAAAAAGCAAATCTTTCTTTAGAGTCCCAAAGTTCCATGTCCTACCAGATCTGCACATGTGGACAAGTCAGATTTGACAAACACACACTTGTGACTCTCTCAGGAGAGCACACAGCTACCTCCTGCCATCAGCTGCCCACAGGCCAAATGAAACAATCAAGTGTTATTGTTGACAAAGCAGCTAGGGAGTTCTCCAAGAACAGTGAAGTGAATTATAAATGACTTCCTGCTGCCTAATCACAACTGCACTGCTCACCCACTCTCAAACACTCCACATCCTTTCAGCTCAGATGATTTGTGCCAGCTCATATCAATGGGAATTTTGCCTCATCTTTTGCCTTAAAGAACATAAGGAACGACAAGGATGACAACATTTAACAGATACCCAAAACTTTGCAGGGGCACTGACTTTCCTTAGGTCTGTCACTTGGGAGTTGGACAGTTTCTCTTTTTCCTCAATGTGCAGTGCCTGATTTTTGAGAGAGGCCCTTCAGTGAAGTCTTAGGGCTCAGGGCATTCATGTGCAACCTGCAAACAGTGATGCTCAGGGCATTTAAATTTTACATTACATCTAATTCAATTAAAAAAAACAACTGTTTAAGCAGTACATTTTTACCTTGAAATTCATTAATCTAATTTCACTAAAGACATTTTAGAATTAGCAGTGACTGTATTAAGTCTCCATTACTACTGGACCAAGCCAAGAGCTCCACAGCTGCTAGTCCAAGGGAATGGGGACAGTGGGATTTCTGAGATTTTCCTCCCTCTCTGTTTACTCTCACACTTGTCACAGGTTCTGCTCCTCACCACTGAGCTCTGGGAAAACAACACATCCATGTCTCAGCCACTTAAACACATGCAGCTACAACAAATCCTGGGAAGCCAGGAAGGGCCCTATAACTGATTCTGAATGATAATATATTTGAGCCTGAAAAGGGATATTGTGTTTTTTACAGAATATTTTGTTTGCTTTCCCTGCAAACTCCATGTTGTTCTCTGGAACAAAGGGAATATTCTCTCAAGCCTGCCTGTTTATGGAAGGCCAGCTCAGCAAAGCTTTACTACTTACTACATTTGTACATGTCTAAAATAAGCAGAACTGGCCCTTCACTCCCCCCTTTCCCTGCACCCTCACCAAGACTCTCACAATTGATTTCCTCCTCCTCCTGGGACAGCCAAATACTGCTGCTCTCATTATTCAGTGCACAGCTGCCAACATATTGATACCAGTGCCTCCCAAAATCCTGAACACACTACTCCTGTGCCCACCTCTTTATAACTACAGTGCAGTAGCCATTCTTCATGGTTTAAAGGTATTTTTTGTCAGAATATTAACTGTGCCTGAGTGAACCACCCAGTCTCATTTACCAGGTAACTTGTCACCTGAAAGGTTCTTTACACTGCTGGGTTACTTTGGAATACTCAGCTGAGCACTCTGGGTCTCTGTACCCTCACTCCAACCTTTCAGCTGCTCCACAGCACTTATTTCAGACAAGTGTTTGGTTTTATTCTGTGGTAGATTTGCACATATCCTTCCCACTGGACAAACTGGGTAGGAGAGCACCAAATGCAGTAGCTATGCTGAGACAACACCAATCACATAATAATGTTTATTTTTTTTAATCTTCCAGTTTCACAGCACTTTTTTAATGCCTCCTCTTGCAAAGCTCAGTTGGCTGTCACAGCAAACATCTACAGCAGCCCTAATGACCTGGCTGCTGTGGCTGTTCCTATACAGAGAGACCTCAGGCTGTCAGAACAAGGTCAGAGTTTTTAAATACTCCTGGTTTTTTAACAGATATGCAATCTGTAACCTTTGTCATCCAGCTGGATGATTCTCCTTTTCTGAACTTCAGCTTCACATGAACTTCAGTAATGAGGAAAGTAAAGCCACACAAAAGAAGGTGATTCTGTCATCTGAATGCACAGACTGGATTTCTATGTGCTTTTTTTCTATATGATTTTTTTCTATATGCTTTTCATTGCTGGTATCTATTGAGCAGTGCAAGTTATAGCACTGCATTTAATTTTCTTGATGAAGTTTAGATTTTCACAAAGTGGGTGAAAAGTGAACTGTAATACATGCACATTTACCACTGGCCAGGAAAATGGCAAATATCACCATTGTACATGTTACTGCTTCTTGAAATGACTTAAGGGCTGGCTTGGAAATAATTACTCATGATAAGTCACATTGTAAACTAGGATAATGATATGTACTCAACAACTGAACAGTTCTTTGTTCTATTTCCATCATCTCAGTGGAATTAAACATAAGAGAAACAGTATTAACATGGCACATTTTTTGTGACATGAGTTTTATATTTTCTGATGACTCTGTGAGGCTTCATTGGCATTTGTAACTCCTGGTACAAACCAAACCCAAACAGGTTTTTCAGAACATGCACCCAGCAGAGTAAACTTGCATTCTCACACAGCTTTATGGTTTTGTTCTGTGAACTACAAGAAAATCAAGAAATCTACAGCCTTATACACATTTCCAAAAGCAAAACTCCTAAAGATTCCTGTGTCATCTTCTATTTTTCAGTAGAATGACATTGGAAGTATCTCATTTTTTAAGGAATAAAGGCAATAATGAATAAAAGAATAATCAAGAGACAGGTGGTACCACAAATTACAGAACATCACATCTGAAACTGGTATTATTATATCATCAGCTGTCCATTTGAAGTGAAATCCAAACTCCACTTTGCTGTGTGCTCCACAAATAGCATCTCTGTGCTGACTAGTGTCACCTGAATTTCCTCTTTACACGAGATTATTACCCTGGAAAAGTGGAAAGCATTCTCCACTTGATACTATTTACAAGTAACTTCCTCAATTTGAATGAGATAAATGGAATTCAGTAATATTCAACAGCCACATTAACACTCACCATTTCCAGATCTCCATCAGCAACTGCTCTCAGGAGTTTTTCCACCTAAGTATGAAGAAAATTATTTATTTGCTTTGTTGGTATGGGTATTAAGCAGAACACAGAAAATCCTGTGTCCTTTGCTAACCTCCTAAGCTCATGCAGTAGGATTACTGCTGGCCCATTTCATATTTATTGAGAAAGTTTTAAAGGAGAAACCTTCCTCCTTTATGAACTAGAGAATCTGTACAAGGCCTGTGGCCATTTGATGATCTCTGACTTGCTCAGTTAAACAGTACTTACCCAAATTGAGGATAGGTGGCCCACCCATAAACAAAGCCATGTAAGCTGATATATACTATTATGCTGCTCCAGCAGCAGCTGCCCTGTGCATTTCTGTGTGAATCTAATGTTAAAAATCCCTGCCCAAGGAAATTCCTACCCTAATATACACTAACACTGGCTGGACTCTTGCTGAGCTGCTTTGTGCTGCTCTCAGTATCCAGCACACAGCTCCCAGCATATTGTACCAGTGCCTCCCAAAAACCTGAACACTCTACTCCTGGGTCCATCTCTTTATAATTACAGGGTACAGTGTAATTACAGGAACACAAAGCTATTTGAGAAACAACAGTTTAAGATGAAAAAGATGCTTTCCCATTGTTACCTTTACATCTGCAGATAACTGGTTTAATCCTGCACTAAAACCAAACATTTACAAAGCCAACTTGACTGTAAATATGAAATTTGTTTTCTTACTTAAAATCTGGAAAAGTATAAATACTAAAGGGTACACACTGGGACCAGAACTACCCCCCTGCAGTGTAAGGTGAGGCCAGGCCCCAGTGCTGGGGGAGGGAAGCTGCTTGCCTGCTCACAGCTCTGCAGGGGGAACAGACACGTGAGGGAAGAGGAGGTGGAAGGAGCTCTGCAGAGCACTGGTGCCATTCCCCTGAGCCCTCAGGCTGCTGGGAAAGCAGGAGAAGGAGATTAACTTGGCTCTTCTCTTCTCTAAGTCTCTACTCTCACATGAAGGAGTTGAGATCCAACCTGATAGAATGGGAAAGGTGCCAGCAAAAGGGCAGGGAGAGTCCATCAGTCCTCTCACAATTCACCTGGCTCTGCAGAGTGTCAGGAATCATTTAATCAGCTTTGTGAAAGTCTGTTTTAGCATTATAGCAAACTATTCCAGCACTGTGCTAGAATCACTGAAGATGGCAATGGGTAAAGACACTTGTTTCTATAGTGAGGAACACCTTGCAAGCTGTCATGGAGTGACAGCTTCAGTCACATTTCAATCTTCATATGGAAATTACCACCTTGCTGAGTGTGACAGTGATGTTTGGCAAGGCAAACAAGGAAGAATGAGACTGAAGTTTGTGTTCTACTGCTCTGATCTCTTTCTTCAGGGTTTTACATGAAGAACAGGACACAAACAGCTGAGAGACCAGAGGCCAGATTAAATCTCTCCATTTTTATCTCTTCTTAGGAACACTGCTAAGTTTGGGTTTATTACCACCTTTCTAATACAGGATGAAGGTCCTTGGAGTCATAAACTGGTCACTCCAGGCAGAATCTATGGTTCTTTGATAGTTATTTCCTAATTTTGAATGTCTAAAAGTCAGCTGTCTAAATCACAGCCAGGCATTTTATTTTTAAACTCCCTCTCTGATAACTACAGAACAGAATACAGTCAACAAATAACACCTGAGTGCAACTCATGTCAAACTAAGCAAGTCTGAGATTAACTCCTCTCTGAAGTGATTTCCCTCCACTGACTGAGGAGGGGCCATAGATGTCTGAAATAAGACAACTGTCTTCCAGAACTTGGCTGAATCCCAGCCTCTCCACATATACAGCTAAAATGGACTATATCAACTAGGGAGGTCTGTGTCTGCCCTAAACTTCCCCATATCATCCAGGATAATGTCACAGGAGAATGTAGAAGTCTTTAGGATTTTTCAGGAGTCACCTTATGCCACACAAGATGTCTAACAGTAATAGCAGTGACCCACCAGCTCTGATAATTTCTTTCCAAAAATAACAACTTTCTTCAAGTACTAAAAGCTGTCTCAGGCCCCAGCAGTGCTACATTTGTTATGCAGCTTATAGATAATTTATTAAGAGTACTTAGGGCAAAATGTCTGCTACATGCATTTCCTCATCTTTCCAGTTTGTTTTCTCACTCTTCCATGGAACAGAACCTTCCTTCAAATGTAAAAATAGAAGAAACAAATTTTCTATCTATTCACCTGCATGGCCAGTTTTTCAGCTGCTGAACAGAAACTGTGCATGGAGATTTTAGTACCAACAGAGCAGGTCCCAAATTTACAATCCTGGATCTTTCACTCTCTCTTTTCTAAGTCATAATACACAAGCCACTATGACTGGCTCATTTAAGAGTTTAATTCAGTATTGCTTAATCAAGATCTGACTGCATCCCCTTAATCCAAGGTGTGAACCTTGAAATCTGGAAAACTGACTGTACCAGTTTCCCATATTCCAGTGGTGTTTCCTTCATGGAGCTCTCTCAGCATCAGGCTCTTGCCTCTTTGAGCAGGGAGCCCAGGTGAAACTTGGCAAACAGAAATCAACTAAATCTGGATTACAGAGAAGGTCATTAACCCAAGGACCTCAGGTGTTAGCAGTTTGTAATCTTTTCCCCTGGCTTGAACTACAGTCTTAGCACTTGGGTGTGATAAATTTGTTCCTTCAAAGAAAAATAAATCCTCAATCTACAAGGAGAACTTGTTTAGAGTGCTTGACTCTGTACAAACAGGGAGGTCCAGCCCTACATGAGCCTCTCACAGAGCAACTCAAGTGTGAAATCATATTGACAGTCAAAATTTGCAACTTTGTGTTTCTTCAGTATTTTTAGAGAACTGAAACTTCTGGCAAGAAAAGAAGCTTTTAATACCAGGAAAAGGAAGAATTTGAATGTAGTGGTGATATTGAGAGAAACAAACACACTTAGGAGGTCAATTTGGAAAAAAATAATGAATAGGCAGACTAGGAAAAATAAAAAGAAGCATCAGAATGAGTGGTAATATGACAGTCTTGGGAAGGGGTAACAAGTGTGGATCTGAGATCCCACAGGAAAAAATTCAGAGGATACCATCTGGTGTGGACAGAGCAAAATCAGCAAACATATACATGCAAGATATTTAATCTATAGTCTGTACTTCTTCACTTGTTACAAAATTGATTCCCATACCTATTTGAAAGCATGTCTTATGTCTTAACATTCCAGTTTGTTGTTGGCCACCATGGCTGTACAAGTCTCTTTTCACTTTACAAGTGAAAGTAAAGTCACTTTACAAGTGACAGATTTTCTAAGCTAACAGTGGCACTTAATTCCTGGATGGGACAGCCAGGACCTTGGGGCATTGACTGCCATTGTACCTTGCTAAACCTCAACAAATTCTCAAATTACATAGTTAACTTCAATAAATATGAACAACTACTTCAGAGATGGTGTAAATTTTTCCCCAGAAATAACCAACAGAGCAGCTGAAGCCAACAAAAATAAGCACTAAGATGACAAAGCCCCTGAGGACAGCAGTTACCATTTTCCAAACCAGACAGAAGGCTATTCCTGAAGAAGCAGTTTAAAACACTGTAGCAAATTATCACTCTTCTAGCTTCCTTCACTTTGCTTACTGTCAAAACCCATACCTCAATCTTACCTCTTTATAACTGTTTTTTGCTTCTTCTTGCCTAATATCAGTTGATGCTGATGACAGGCTTGAGACAGATGATCCTCTGCTGAAAGTTTCTGTTGAGTGTTGAGGAGACCTAAGTGGTGACTTACAGTTGGGAAAAAAACAATAAAAATCAATAAATCAAACAACCAACCAGAAGAGGTGAAATATCAAATAAAGGAGGTTAAGCACAGTCAAGAAACAATTTAGCTTGCATGGGCTGTTACCTCAGAAGCACTCTGTCCTCTTTCAAATGTTAGGTAGTTTGCTTCCATCAATGACAAAATCTGCACAAAAATATTAAAGAGAACCAATGTAACTCCACTCATAGAGGAATCTACTGACTGAAACACAAATGAGCAGACAACCTCATAATTAGTAACAGAATATGACTGAGCAGATTAGAGGTACCCATTTACAAGTTCATGTTCTATCCCACAGAGTGTATTCCCACTGCTGGAGTTAAAATGGGACCTTTCTTCCTCAGAGTGAAATACACATTTTCTCTTTAATAGTGAAAACCTCTTAGCAGTGAACATCTCCACCTCTGTGGTGTTGGATCAGAAAGAAATCAGGCTGGAAGATGAAGAGGAATACCTTGGAATTCAATGCACACTGCAGGGAAGTCTCTCTCATCCTGTTCTGAATTTCTGGATTTGCCCCATTCTGCAAGAGCACTTCAATGATGCCCTGATAGCCCCAGCGAGCAGCAATGTGCAGAGGAGTGTCTCCCTTCTCATTGCCAATATCCAGCCTGCAGGAGTGCACATCATAGTACACTAAAGCCTTGACACACTGGGAAGAAAAGGAAAGCTATCAATAAATTATAGTGCTGTGTCTCAGCTCAGACAACAGGCACAAGCCTGAAAGGTTTGTTTTTATTGCTGCTTATGTAACCCATTACCTAAAGAGAAGGCTTTAGTGGTTCAGTGTCATTAAATAAAGAGTTAAACAACTAGATTTGCAAAGCACTGCTATCTTTAATGTGAAGTCACATTAAAAATTGCTATGAACTACCAAATAAAGTCCTCATTTAGAGCAGTAAACAATTTAGCCTTCAAATATTTTTATTTACTATTTAAAATATATAAGTTTAGTGCTAATTTGCATCAGTTTAATTCCATTGCATTAGAATGCCCATTTGGTTTGATACAAAACAATTACTTACATCCTCATGACCGTAAGTGCAGGCTAAATGAAGTGGAGTATTTCCATTATTGTCCTGAACATCAGTACTTGCCTTGTAGTGCAATAAGAGCAGCTTAAAAGAAAAGCAAAAGTAGACATTTAAGTAGCTAAAAAATTAATGTACAAACAATTATTGCTCTGCAGATTCCTTTAGGGCTCTGGCATGATGAAGCACTCCATGAGACACTAGCTCTGCCTCCTGTTTCAGACACCACCCTTCTGGCACTGCAGCACTGTTTGTGCCCTACCCTGAGAATCACAAAGTCTCTTCTTACATATTCAGAATTTTAATTGAAAAAAATGAAATCTCTACTGCAGCAAATACTGCAATATATTCACTACATGATCTACCCCACATTTCAAAAGCCTAGGCAAGTGAAGACAATTTTATTTCAACAATGCTAATTGAAGACTTTTACAGACACTAAATTCAAGTAGACAATAATTACTGTAGTTGCACAGTCTATCCTAAACAGAATGTGAAGCATTTTATTCAGCCCAATGGCTGCAATGGTTGTTCTGTCCCAAGCAAGAGCAGAGATGCTCTCCATCTGTATTGGACATTTGTGTTAATAAAGTGGATGAATTGTGCAGAGCTGCCAGCTGGTTATTACCAATGGCTGAAAACCTTGCAGTAGGAGAAAAAAAAAAATATCTTGCAAATTACAGTGATGAAAGATCCACCATGCTGACAGCTTACACAGCTCTGCTAAAAGTTCCCCAGAAGATCTAAATGGCAGTACCAGTAGCAGACTTAGTAAGAGTCATGTATTTATTATTTAGGTTAGGTGTTGTGCTTACTGTAACATTCTGATATCCCTTCTGACAGGCGAGGTGAAGGGGACTTGAACCGTGGTAATCTGTGGCATTGACAATGGCTCCTTTGGCCACCAGTAAATCCACTAAGGAAGTCTGACCTTGGAAAATAAGCATTCAAAGAAAGGTGTAAACTTTGTACAAGAACACTGCTACTTTTCAAATTCAAACAGTGACTATAAAGCAAGAGACCCTGCATTTCTGCATACTATGTTTCCATATACTGCATATTCACTGCCCTGGTATTTGGGTATTTTTGTGGCAGATATTTCAATATTAAAGCCCCATAAAAGAACCTCCAGCTGAAGCAAGCTATATTTGTATCCTACAAGTAACAAAAGAAAATATTTGGATTCAGTATAATAAGAAAGGAAATTATAGATAAGAAACCACCCACTAAGAAAATAATACAGCTTCTAATAAAAGGAAAATCAATTACATAATGAACATTATAATACAGGTGTTACAGCTCTACAATGCATAGCCAGCTGTAGGAAAGAGAAAACTTGTTTCTCAATGTGCCAGTCCTTTAAAACAAGACTGATTTCTGAGGACAATCTTTACTTTTTTCAAAGCTGAAGAAAGCACCTGTGGTAACCACTATGGCAAAAATAGAGTCAAAACCCAAAGATTAACTCAGCCATGAGAAACTGAGCTTAAATAAATATACAATAACTTCAGTCTGTGCTCAGATAGAAACAGCAAAGTTTCATTAGCAAAGAAGCAAAAAAAAACAACTTAATGCAGAATTCCAACTTTAATACAAAGGTGGGGAACAGGCTGACATAAAGACAGAAAAGCAAAAGGAGGAGGAAACACTGGTGAAGAACAGCAAGCCCACTCACCACAAATAGCAGCTATATGAAGTGGAGTGTACCCCCGGTCATCTCGGGAAAAGGGAGTGATAATGGAAGGGTCATTCAGTTTCCTTTAAAACACAATGGTTTGAAAGCAGCTTAATTACCCCGGTGGTGGAAGGAAGGAGAGAAAGGATGGCAAAAAACTGATTTTGGAACTTTTTATCCTTTTACATTGACAAATTATTCCACAGAGAACTTTACATTTTGTTAAGAGAAGTGGGTTAGTCCCAGATCTGTAAGTTTGATCCAAAAGAAGAAACACCATGTTTACCAAAGCCCACACGGGCTCCATCAGAGAATGGGTGGGTTCCAAAGGATTCAGTATGTTCCCAATGTTTCTTCTGTTTTTTCAAACCACACACACCCACATGCTCTCCACTACATCCTGAAGTGCTCCCAAATTCCTCTATGACCAAAAGCAGCATATTTCCTGAAGGAAATCTTAGCTAAAGGCTTCTACACAGCTTTCTATGCATTTGTGGGGTGAAGGGTGCTCACCCAGAAACCAGCTTCTCGCATTTGTCACAGTAACACAGCGGGTGACACATTTTCTGTACAGTGTCCTTATCACTGTCACCTTGACTTAGCAGCCGCTCCACTTCCTCCTGATCACCTGAAGCAATATGCTACAAAAAAAACAAGAGAAGAGAGAATGAGAAAGCAATATAAAAAGCCTCCTTTTAAGAGAAAAAAGCCAAGAGTAATTTACTGAAGCACAAAATGAAAGGATTCGATTATGAAAGACGTATTCAAGCATTAGAAAGCAGAAATGAACAATGTCACAGCACAAAACCCCCTAATGGGCATTCAGTATTAAAAAGAAACTGTTCTTGGCTTACTTCACTTTCTATAAAAAAATTAAAACAATTCCTATTGTCCCCTTTAGACTCAATCATGAAATTGAGCTCCCTCTGTGCAAAAACATGTCTATAAAATTACTAAGTCTCCAGCCATAAGCTGTGAACATATAATTAGAAGCTCTGCTTTGTGTCCTTGTATAAGCAAAATTCTTTTAGAATGACAGTATGAGATTAACAGATAATATGAAGTAGCTGTCAGGTGACTACATCTAAATTATTTCAGAAAGCTCTTCCAATTTCAAGTACTAAAAGCTGTGAGCCACAAGCAGTATCACATCTGTGATTTAAATGGGCCACACAATACCAACAGCAGTGGCATTTCATCCTCATTTGCTTCTATATTTCATATAACATGTACTGAAATCCATAAGATTATATTTTATTAGCAAGGCTTTGGCACAGAAATGTACTCAGTTCAAAAGACACTTTTAGCATCTACTAAAAGACATTTCACAGTACTAATGTAATTAACCCTTCATTACATTCCAGAGGATTCCAGTTGTAATTCCATACAACTGCAGAAAGGGAGGGATATAAATATGAAATGTGCAAATACATACATATTCTGCCATAAAAGTTATTAACCTTAAACAAGCAGTCTATTGGTGTAGCAGACATCTGGGACAACAAGTTCATCCTTTGTCTTAAGAGCAGCTTGTCACACAGACTCTCAGATTCCTGAAAATAAAACAGATAGATAGATTATTTATACAGTCATCTACAGACAAAAGTGAAGAACCTTAACAAGGAATTAACTTTTAAAAATATTAAACACTTATTTGCTATGTATGAATTATCAGACACACATGAAATCCAGATCAGTTTCACTTTTAAGATTTTGAGACATAAAAGACTGGGCACCCATAGAAATAATAAGTAGATGTTCACCAGAATATTTCTTTACTGAAATTCACTGTGAATTAACATTAATGAAATTATGGCAGTACCATCTAAAAAAGAACACAGCAAAACACATCAAAGAAAGCATGAACTGTAAGAGGTACAACACAGCTTTCTCAAGAGGAGAAACTAAGGCAAATTCACATAGGACATGTCTACTGATGGCTACTAAAAAAGATGACCCAGATACAACTCTGACTCAAAGAATTCTGAACTCTCTGCTGCTGGCTGAAAAATACAAGATTGCACCAGGCAAAGCATTGCTCTGCAGCAGATCCATCTGTGCAATTTCCTACTTGGTTTGAACTAAGCAGACACAGCTGCTACCCTTGCATCAGCCCTTAGAGACAGCTGAAGATACACTTCAGGATGCACTAAAGAATAGAAATGCCTCCAAAGCCAGGTGAAAATTATTAAGTGGAGTTAGATTTTGAGGTGGCAGCACTGACCCTCCCATGAAATAAAACAACAACCTAAGGAAAACACTTCCTAAGAATGCAGATGGAAACTTTTGCATGTGGTTGGTTCTGATCCCCAGCTGCTTATGGTTGGCAGTGGTGCTCTTGCAAGATAATGGCTCTCCAGAAATGGAAAGATTTCAGCCTCCATAAAACAGAAAACCACTGCATTTAAAACACACACCCATGTATCAGGCAAACTTCAATGGTTTAGGATCTGGGCTATGGCTTTTGAAATAAAGTCTATCAAGACCAGATGTAAATGAGTAAAACCAGTCTGACTCCACTCTTACATTAGCAAGTCAGCATGAAATTTGAGCCTCATAAACTGCAAATAAACAACATCAGTTGATTCAGGCTTTCTAGAAATTAGGACTATTCATGTTTCAAAATCAACACAGATGCCTCTCATAAAGCTGTCCAAAAAACCCTTAAGAGTTCAGCAAATAATATCATTAAAAACATGTTTGTGAGGTCTGGAGATGAAAGGTTTTCTCTGTACTTCACAGAAGTTGTTTGTATTTAGATACATGAAGGTGACAAATATTCACCAATCATTTCAAATCTCTGTACTTCAGCTAAGGATACCCAAGCATATCTTCTCAGAATTGCAAGGCATACAACACTAATCTCCTAAGATTCTTCACTAGGAAGAGGAATAACTTCCCTAAGAAATATTTGATCTAAAGTTTAACTGCTGGTACAAGTTCCTAATGTCTAATCAGAATTTCTAGCATGGATGCTCACAAGCTTTATACTTTCACTGTGGAGAATCTAAGAAAGCATTAGCAAGAACTACTGCAGTTTTAGAACTGCTCCTTCCACAGTGTGTGTCTTCAAGGGAAGTGTTCCCCAAGTGGAATCATTGTTTTAAAAGAGACAAATGAGACAGAAACCCTAATGTAGCAGTATTATATATTTATTATATAAATCAGAATAAAAAGAGACCAGGTGAAACCACATATCTTCAATAGTGAAATATGGAATGACAAGAATCAAATATTCACTGAAGGATTAAGCAAGTTTGGGCTTTCCAAGTCAGAATCCACTTGCACCAGCTTTACTTACAGCCCAAGAATTTGTATTTCTTTTAGAAAGAGATTGCTTGGAGTGGGACTTTCAGGTATTTTAAGCGTATTTTGTCTAGAAAATACACACCTAAACATTAATGACCTTTTTAATCTAATACCACAACGTGTAGAAAAAGAAAGTATTTGTACCTATGAGAGTGTACCCTTGTAATCATCTACCCCAGGTCATTCTCACAGATTGCAACTGATAACTTGGAGGAAATACAGGTGGCAGAAGCCCAAAGAGGAACTCTTGAACACAAACTAAGGGTAATGAAGTGTTTGGTGGGGAGGGGGAGAAGTGATCATTTCCCCATCTGAAGCTCTTCCCACACATGAAACAAAATGCTGCCTATTCCCTCATGGCTGGCTCTGACTCCCTATTTTTTATACCTCACTTTAACCCTCTGAACTTGAGAGTCTTACTACACATTAGCCATGCAAAGGAATGAGCTGGTATCCAACATTTAACAGGAATGCTAATTGAATAATGTTGACAATTCAGAAAATAAAATTGACTCTGTCATGCTTTACAGGCTCCTCTCTTCCCCACAAAGTGTCTCACAAGGACTTGCATGACCTTGGGTGGAGGGATTTGGCAAGAACGTCCTGAGTGCAATTCACTTACTGACAGGAGGGTGAGAATGTGCCCATTATCCCTCAGGGTACATTAGGCCCCTGCTGAGTTTCTTTCTGGAGTAATCTTCATTAGGGATTGGACAGCAGCATTACTCAGCTGCCAGCAGCTCCATCTGAAGCCAGCTATAAAATGAAGCATAACCACATAAGGGGCTGTAATGAAGCCCCAGGGCACAGCAATGCTCCTGCTCACTTCAATCCCACACCCCCTTCCAGCACAATCTGGAGAAGGAAATCATAGGGCAGCAAGATGACAGCTGCTGCTGATGCTTCAAAGTTCATCCCCTTTACCAGAGATTAAAGGACATATCTCAAATGGTCACCTCATGAAGAGACAGCAATGCTCCTCCACCTCCTCACTATCCTTTTTCCATTTCCACCTCAGTCTCTTTTCACTGTGTGCCACCTTCTCCTGCCCACGAGCAAAGGGTGCTCTGGCTGTTTCCTTCCAGCTGTGTTAAGGGCAAGCTGTCCCTCATTTCCTCCTCAGGGTTGAAATAGGGCAAGCTATCCCTCATTTCATCCTCAGGGTTGAAATAGGGCAAGCTATCCCTCATTTCATCCTCTGCTGCCTTCCAGCCAGGCTGACTCCAAGGAAAGGCAAGGCAAGAGGACTTGGTGTTGCACATTCATCCTGAAGTGATAAAGTTCTCTGGGCCTGGAGCTGGTCCAGCTGAAGTATGGGCAGAAACACTAATGGCTTGCTCTTCCCATGGTGCAGACACTGAATTCCTCATTTAGATTCTCAAATATACAGTTTATCTTTCAAGACAGGTGCCTCCCAAACTATAGTACCTTAATGGAAGTGGCACTTAAATTACAACATTTGAGTGCAATCCCAGTATAAAAGCTGCTATCCTCAACTACACCAAAAGGGATAGGATCAGGCATTTAACAGGAAACAGTCTTTATTCTAGAAATTTAAGAGCAGTATATTCTGTCTTAGTTTGCTGGCATTGTTGTGGAAGACAATTGTACTTTGGTTTCAGTTTCCTTTCAGAGCACCAGCTTTGCTCTTTGTGTATTGATTGTGAATGACAACCAAGTAACTGCAGGAAGCAAAATCATATAGCAGGTTGTTTCTTTTAAACTACCATTTTTATTTTTTTAATATAATTCAATTACAGACAAGAATACCACTCTCTTTGCACAATATGAAAGTGTTGGTTTGTTTTTGGGGGGCTTTTTTTGAGTGTACAAAACAAACTTGCACAAATTCATGGAAAAATCCCAGAAAATGACAAAACCAATAATAGCAAGAGGCCAAAATGTTACATTAAGTGCTTCTTAAGACTGTCCCCCAGGTTGTCCCATCCCAAGCCCTGCACACTGAACCATTGCTCTGGCCCCTGCAGTTAGACTCCAGTGCTTTGCAGTAGGGCAGACTGAGACACATTGAATTCACTCTGGTCCCACGTTCACTCCTTTTGATGTCCACATCAGCTCAGGAAAACCTAGTTTTACAACAGTAGAAAATTTTACAGGAGTGGTAAGACTGGATTCCTTGAATAAATAATCCAGAAAGTTCTTAAATTATAGAAGTCTCTAAAGTCACATCAGCATCACCCTTGACTGGCCTGCAGGGATGTGACCAGATTGACAGCAGGTCTAGTTGCCCAGTAGGAAATCTGTCATGCATCCACAGATTTCCTGCCCCTGCTAGGTCAGAGATCCCAAGAGCCAAATTTGACCTTCAAACAGCACCTTATCACAGCCCTGCATCCCCTAAGAGCAGCACTGTAACCCACTCTGCAAACACATGGAATTCTTCCACTAGGAAGATTTACTGAATAATTCTAAATTACACTGCTATCTCCATTCTGCTAGCACAGCTAAGCTTTTTTAAATTACACAAAATTTAAGCTGTGCCTGCTCCCAAGTACTGCACTGCTTTCACAATCCTGGTAGAATACAAACAGGAGATTAACATATACTGGAGACTCATCTGTAGAAAACAGTGCTGCCATTTTTCCTCTAACCATGTAAAGAGGCAGACTTCACATTTAAGTACTTCCTCAAGAAGTATGCAATGAATAAAAATATTGGTATATAGGACTTCATTATAATAATTTAGGTAAATTTAGCATTTGCTTCAGGTAGTCAGCTGTACTCATTTTTTAAGCAAAAGAAGGAAATTCTTGAGTTAGTTCTTTGCATCCTCTGGCTGGACTTACAGCCACAATGGTACTGCAGTGTATGAAGCAGGCATTAGACAGACTTTAGGAGCAGCTTACTGTGGGTCTGTCCGAGAGGTTGCCCTGGCGGATGTACTCGATGGCAGCCTCAATGGAGGTCAGGCAGTACCCCAGCTCATCCTTCACTGAGCTGCACAGCCTGAAGTTCTTTATGTAACTCAGGTTGGCCATCCTGAAAAGGAAAATGTTAGGGTTGTGAACTAAGACACTAGCATGGCATATTGCAGCTCATCTTAGGCAACCCAGGCAGACAATAGGGTGAGTTGGGAAAAAGCTTCTAAAAAGCTTGTTAGGCCAGCAATATGGCTGTTCTGAGCTTGAAGAGTGACCAGATCTCTACTTATCTCTCATATATTCAAGGAAGAGTTATCAACTGGATGGAAGGAATGGAAGGATAAGGGCAATAATGGGAGATTAACATCTTTGAAGTGAGTGAAGCAATGTTTCCAGCGCCATAAGCACCACACTGATAGCTACAAGTTAAAGGCCAAATGCTGATCTCAGAGATCCAGGATAGAACAGCACAGAGAATCAGTTCAGGTAGTGCTGGAAGGTTTAGATAGACTTTTACTGAAAATGAGGAGACACAATGGCACATGCTAGCAGGAAGTAATTAAACATTCACACCTAGTTTCTCTCTAAGAAATGCACCAAATCTTGACATGCATAAAGGTGTCACAGCTCCCAACACAGATGAAAGAACCACTCTGTGAAGGCTGTGTTGACACACAGATTTGGTTGAGAGATGGCCTCCCACTACAACTTTTTTCTAGGCTGAGAACCAAAACAAAGGCACATTCCTGACAGCTCCTTCATTTAGTTACACATATAACACATCTTTGCTATTTGTCCTATAAAACATTTTCTGCATTTCAACAGGACCTCATACACTTTCAGTAAGTTATTACTGTGTGTTTAGAAACATTTGTCCCTACAGCAGCACTGCACAAGATGGTAGGAAGGAGTTCTATATAGCTAAAACAGTTACATACCAGTTTGGAATTTCTGTTTTTACAAGCAAATACAGCAAAACAGAGAGAAGATCATCTGCACACATGGTTTCCATGTTAACTAAAAAAAAAGAATTCACATTTGGTATTAGTCAGGTCATGGTTCAACTCAAGAGCAATAAGTCTAAAGTTCTGCTTCTTAAGACTAAAGGCCAGCTCTACCAGTAGAGAATGCATGGAGAGCCCAGGGCAGGCCTCCAAATGTTCTCAATCTCTCACTGAAATAGTCTGCCAGGAGCTAACACACAGATACAGTTTGTGCAGTACACACTGCAATATCTAACTAGCATCCCTCCCTTGCCACACAGCAAGGGCCAGAGCATTAGCTCAAGATTTCTGAAATTCTTGAGGGCAAAGACTATGCTCAAAAGTTGATACATTTTTCCATAACCCAGCAGTCTTCCTAGAGAAAAGATATGAAGTAAAGAAAGCATGAGATCACTGTGCTACTCTATTTGCTTAATCTAGCTTGAAAAGAGAAGTATCTTCTCTTTTCAAGCTAGATAAAGTGCCAGGTTAAGAGGACTGTGCTTTTGTATCATAGAATCATGTCTGCAATCCACAGCAGCACATTTGTTTGGCCCCACCCATCTCTTGCATTTTTGCATCTCAAGAGTTGTTCCTTTAATTGTTTAAGATTTTCTAAGTCTTCTGACGTTTACATTTTGGTAGTAAACTGTCTCACACACTTTCTGTAAATAACTTATTGTTTTGCATTCTTTTATAGAAGAGAAATTTGATGAACTGTTAGTTTGTCTAGTGTCATTGGAGAGGTGGCACGTTCACCCTCCAATCCACTGTTTCTTTTAGAAAACTATAAATGTTAGAGTCAGAAAATAAGCTTCTTTCTTCTTCACCTTGAGAGCAGCAGTGTGTGCACTTGTGTTGTTTTGTGTCCTATAGTGACAATTCCACAATGTCAAGGGGAGCATGGACAAATACACAAGAATGATCCAGCAACAATCTCCAGTGTTTCAAATGATCACCATCAGTGTCCTGGCAGATATGAGCTTCCTCCATGTCCAAGCTAAAATATACACAAGCTAACCCAGGACCCCACCCCAGCCCACAGGAACCAGTGCTGACACACCTACCTCACTTCCTTTCCCTTCTGCTCTGTTCAGAGGCCTTAGAGACTCCAGCTCAGCTATGTTTGATCCCCAAGAGTTACCCAAACAGTTGTTTACACACTGAGGTGCTTTGTGTGTGCTGGTTAAGTTTAAAATTATGAATTGACTAATTACTGACCTCTTTGGCTTGGAGACTGCATAATAATTTGCACAACTTTACGCAGACAAAGCAGCTTCTGTTGAGGGGAAGTGCATTTGTTCAACTGACCCAGCTCTCGCTTTGCACGTGGTATATTAAAACTATAAAATAATTAGAAAGGAATGATTAGCACACAGAGATCCTCTGCAGGATGTCCAAAGCCCAAGTTTTAACTTATTCAGAGCTGAAATGAAGAATGGTTCCAAATTATTCCTACTTCTACTCTAAGTGCACCTGCATTTCTGTGTCCTGTAGATGGCTTAAAAACATAGAAGTAAAGGAGTCAACCATCAATGCATAGACTATCCTCATCCAACACTTGCAATGCTTTGATTTTACATCTCAAAAGAAAGTATAAAAAAGCTTGCTAGTGTCTGAAGAAAAACACTTTTTGGCTGGCATGATTCTATTTAAGACAGGATCTCAGTGACTCTTCAAGAATCCAGAGTCATCTCTCTCACCTGAACTCAGGCTTCACTCCAATGTCTTTTTGCTGCAGGTCTTGAAGGCTCCTCGTGATTTTATTAAAATCAGCATCCTAATTAATAGAAAGGTAACAGGTTTTTAAAATGCCTTAGATGAGTATCAGCAGTATGGAGCAATCAAAGTAACTTACCTCACTTGCCTCAATCGTCCCCACATATTTGAAGATTAGGTCATAAATAGCATGATGGATATACATCTGTAGGGAAAAAACCAGTATTTTAGGCATGAAAGGGAGAATTAAAAACAGCTTGCTAATTATTTTCCTTCATTTCAGATGCTTACTTCAACAGCTTGTTTGATCAGATTCATCTGCTCTTCTTGCTTTGCAAGCATCTTCTAGAAAAGCAAAGCCATAAACAGCAAGAGAAAGTCAGATAATTTATTGCCTAAGTTACACTGGACTATGTATTTAGGGGAGTAAGTCTTTACCAAGTGCGAATCTCTCAAAAGATGCTGCAGACATTTGGTATAAAGTGCATTGACAGAATCCTAGGAGAGAGAAAAGATAAAAGCCATCAGGTTCAGGTTAATGGGACTTGAAGGAGCAAAGCCTAAATAAGTAATGTAAGTCTTCCCTGTCTCAGAAGTGTACAGTATGGTAAGAGTTTTAGCAATAATAATTGCATTTACCAAACAGTCCTGATAGTGAAATTCTTCAATGTGAATTACCACTTCTCCCTCCTCCCCTTTCACAACTCTAGGCTGCTCTGCCACAGAAAAGCTCAATAAGGCAAAGATAACAGCACCAGTGCAGCTAATTATATTTAGCAAATTAGACATCAGGAAGGAAGATACTGACTATGTAGTGGCGGAGGCTTTTCCTTTCGTGTTCTTTAAATGTCCTATAGAAAGATGCTATGTATTTATCAAATCTCTCACAGTGCCTTCCCAAGAACTCTCTAACATCTTCAATGTTTTTAAGAGAATAGGAGTTTGATGAAGCTGTAGATTCACCTAAAACAAAAGCCAAGAATTAACACATAGGCTTAATATATGCATGCATTTTGTCCCTACACATACAGCCAGCTTGTGTACACTGAAACATGAACTCAGCTCACTCCACCTTTAACTAGAGGTATTGCCTTTAATTAAAGAATTTAAGGAGTCACATCTGAACAGGCTCCCCTGTTTTTTATGTCAAATGTTTATTTGGAATAGCTAACACAGATTTCCCTTATTTTTTTTTTTACACTGGGATCATTTATTACCACATGCACTCAGCTTATGAGTTGTGTAAGTCAAGCTTGAAAGAAGAAGAAAAGCACATTACAGTGTTGACAGAGTGACCATGCAGGAAGTCAGGGTGCTTTAAGTGAGCTGCAAAAATCCCATCGTGGACTTTTACATAAGCTATTCTTTATTTAGGCATGCTTTCTCTGAATGGGAGAGCAAAGTTACAGGAAGTAACATTAAAGCAAATCCACTTTTTTTTCTGACTAAAACAACTGAATCCCTCACTTAGAAATTATGCCGTTTTTCCAAAAATTATTTCTAGGCAAATCTTTCATCTTCAGTTCAAAGGCAGCCAGTTAATAAGAGGCTTAAATCATTATTTTCAAATTACTTTTGAAATTAGAAACTCATTCACTTCTGAAAGACTGTGATATGAGTATATGAAGTAATGGCCATAAAGAATATCACATGAATATTTTTTGAGATATACATTAACACTTACAGAATTTAAGGCTATAAGAATGGCAGTGGGGTTGTTTTGTTTTTTTTAAAGCCTTCCATTCTTCCCTCACAGTACTACTTTCACACTACCCTAGTACTACTTCTCTTTGCATTCACTTGTTTCAAATATTTTTATTTATTTAGGAAGACTTATGTTTTTACTTCAGAAAAAGCTGAAGCTTCTAAGCTTCTTAAGGAGCTTCTGTTCTTAATTAGTAAACATGGATTGCTATACAAGTTCACAAGGACATGCTGTTAACATTCACAGTATTGATTGTAGTCTTGAAAAGAGTGTCACAGCCTTCAGAAGCACTTTCAGTGCAGGACAAAAATTGAGACATTCAACTTCATAAGCTGGGCCACCATCAGGAGGTTGCTACCCAACTCTGCCAGACAACCTCTGTCCCCCTGCAAAGTCATCATGAAAGAATTTACCTCTCCAGTTTTTGTGCATCCACCTTGCATCTCAACACACATATGATCACATTTAGGATTCAATCCCTTTTTTAAGCAGTCAGCAATAAATTGAGCGCAGCTAAGAAAAAATCATGCTGGATTAAGTATTCCACAGATAATTCTTAATGCTACAGGATTTATGGCCCAGTCTCAGCACCAGTTTTGCTGGGAGCAACTTGGTATTTCTCTGCAGCAGCACACCAATATCTGGCCCAGCAAGTTCATAAATGCCAAGGGCTTTTAACCCAGCCAACACTTTCCAGAATGAACACATTTATTAAGCACAAACACTAATTTGCTCAGTGTGCAAAGGCACCCACCAAACTGACACCAATACATACTTGAGCTTTCTGTTTTTTCCAATGGATGAGCTATGCACAATATACTAAAGCTTTCTTCTTTTTCATTGTAAAAGGTTTCCTCAAAGAGGACAGGTACTGAGAGAGTGTAATTAAAACCAGCTCCTAGAATGATGAGGTTGCCTTGTATGAAGATCTCCTGAAACAAGACAAAGCAGAACAAGTGTGAAACTGCCAGGAAAAAAAGGTGCTCTTTGGCTTCTGTCTTGCATAGTCACATTTCAAAGGGGGAGAAGAGAAATTTGCAAGGTGAGAAAGCTCTAAATTGAAGAAAATTCACATTTTCATGCTGTGTTGACACTGAAACAAAAGTTCCTTCATTGGGCAGTGGCTGGCTGAACCTTGATTACAGCTGCTTCTTTTACAACTCTACTGCTGGAGAAGGTTTCAGACAATCACCAAGGTTTTGTCTGCAGATTTTAGAGCACTTTTAGTAGAAAGGAAATAAAAAAAACCCAGCAGCCTCAGAACAGGACTTAATCCCAGCCTCAGAAAAATACCTCACACCTTGTGTACATTTCTCACACCTGGCTTTCTTTTCCCAGCAGCTCCAGTGAGTGCATCTGGAACAGGAAAATCCTGATGGCAGCCTGCAGACTATCTCTAGTGCAAGCTGTATGCCCAAGTTCTCAGATTGTACTGCAAAATGACAAATGAAAACCCTGGGATCCTATGCAGTGTCAGCCCTGCTTGCCTTGTCTGTAACCATTAGTTCACACAATCAGTCACAGCAGCAGTGAATCACTCACTGGAGTGTCCCCAAGCTACATTCAGATATCAAACAGAAATACCTTTCCATTTAAGGTTTGAAAATTTTCTTCCAGAGGCTTCAGAACATAAGATTCAAACTGGCAGGTAGAAAGAGTGTTGCTTGAAAGGCTTCCTTTGCATGGAACTAGCACCTAAAAGAGGTTAAATCATGTTTTAGAGAGAAAGGCTGTGTATTGCCAGCTATTTAGCAATACCTTTTGTTCTTACGAGGCAAGCAATTAAATCAGCCTTGTAAATATTTACAGTAAACATATAGGAACTAGAGGTGCTTTTAGTAAAAAAAAAAAAAAAAAGGAGGGGCTATCACTAGACACACAGCCTGATAATTAACCCAGAAAAAAATCACACTTAGTAACTTATCTGGAAAAGGCTGGCAGATGCAACTGAAGCAAACAACACTAAGGGAAGTCAATGAAATCTTTAGGTACTTAGCACCAGTCACAAATAACTTCAAATGACAACAGATGACTTAAAATTAAGCAGCTAATAAAAAAGTGTAGCAGAGATTCAAACTCAAACAAAAATCCATCAGAAAGAAAAAGATCTAAGATAAATATCTTGGGTTTAGGCCAACAGATTGGCAATTTGGGGCAAATTCTTAGTTAGAAAGAAACAAATTTTATCAATAGGTAACAATAACCTCCATGTTTAATGGAGTCTCTACACACTTAATAGCAAAATACCCAGGTTAGTAAATATTAAGGAGACTGAAATTTTTATTCCAGGTCAGTTTAATAGCTTTATTTTGCTATGTAAAATGCTGTCAAGCGAGTAACTGCTTGTCCACAAGGCATCTCAAAAAGTCAATCCCATTTAAGTTATAAACTTGTGAGAGAATATGTAACTTCAGTTCATAGAAAAGAAAATGAGTTTCCTGTAGAGTTTAGAAACAACACCAACCTTAGCATTTTACTACCTTGCAATATATCAAGAGGTCCATATTAGTAAATAACGTTCAACTTAAACTAAAAATTGTTCTATTTCCAAGTTTTGTAGACTTGAAATAATCTTTACATGCTTCATAGCAGACATATAATATAAATTCAAATAGCTACTATTCACCAAGCAGCTTTTCAATGTACTTTTTCATACTTACAATACCATGGAGTTCTGCAACTTTGCTGCATAGATCAGGACGTCGCTTCTGAATGGCCAAATAAAAGGGATTTTTCAAGATATCTTCATCATACATAGCCATATGGACTTCAGATACTCCAAGGAGATGTTCTAAAATACATATGGAGAATGGCTGATGTATCATACATGGTATCTGTTAAAACATAATATTTGGGAATACCTAGGGGCAGTTTGATTCTCCTTGTACAAAAGGGAAAAGCAGTTTCAGGTCTTGATGTAAGCAGCCAATGGCATTGTTTAACTACTGTAAGAAGTTAGTCAGACAGAATATTTTTCATTATTATTCATTTCAAATCACACAGTTATCCTCAATGTCTCCTTAGGCCTTCCAGGTATTGAAGTCTAGCAGTGAATATCAGAGAGAAGTTAAGATCAAAATTTTTACCACTTTGATATACAAACTAACTTCTCCTGCTGAGATGTAAAGCCAAGAGACAAATGAACAGCCTTTTACAGCAGATTCTACTGCACCATGGGACACTGATGCTTTTGCACTGTGCTCATGTAAGTCTTAAAACTCCCCTGTATAAGGATTGCTGACACACACCAATGAGACACCCAGAGAGTGTAACAGAAACCCTCATGTAAGGCAATCCTCAACTTTCCAGGCAAAGTTAGAGAGGCACACCAAGGAGATATGAATATCCATGCCATAATTAAAAAGCCACCGTGAAATTTATCATAATTTGTGGTCATCTCTACTCCCATGAAAAGAGTCTCAGTGATTTGAGGTCAGGCTGCTAAGTAACATTTGGCTAAACAGAGCAAAAGAGCAACTGGAGAGTGAAAATCCAACCTGTAAACATTGGAAATGCTGTCACTGGGTGTCACAGTGCCCTGGAGAAGATGATCCCTAAGGAATCAGACCTTCACCTGCTCGCCTCCTCAATTCCAATTCTCTGTACACATCATACACAAGGGCAGGAAAAACCCTAACAGGTACCTTCTAGAATAACTTCAGAATTGATTTTTTTTAACAAGAATTGAGATTAACAGGCATACAAATGCTTAAATAACAAGCTTATTCTATCTTTCTCCTCATGCAGGTTTAATCAACAGAAGTTTCGTGATTTCCTCATGCAATTTCAGCTGTATATAACAAGAAAGGGTGAGCACAGCTAGAGACTTGAATTTGAGCACACCACCCTTACACAATCAGTACCTCCAATGCAGAATTATTCCTAGCACATCATTTGCTCAGTGTGAGCTCACTGTATGGCAGTTCAAGGGGGTGGGAAAACACACACCCAATTCCCATGGATTGCAGATAGCCTCTGAGTGTCAGCCATGCTATCAGCTGATCTACAGCCTGCTAAGTGAGCTGGGCTCTGCTCCCTCCCTGACCAGGCACAAGCAGAGCTCCCTTAAAGAGTTAAACACAAACACCACCAGGTCAAGTAGAAGTCATTTCCACTCTAAAGTTATCACCAGTTACCTACAGCTTGGACAAGCCCAGCCTGAACACTGAAGTCTGGCAGTGGCAGGTAAGTGCCTCAAGCAGCTTTCCTGCACAATTCCAGACAAAATGGTCCCTCTGCTTTCAAAGCATACAGTAACACAAACAGCTTCCATGAAAGACTTCTCATCCAGGGCTCCCATATCAGCACAGCCATGCAGTTTGCTAATATAGCGAGGAAGGAATTGTTTGCTCATTGACATCTTCAGAACACCAACCAAGTTGAGTAATTAAAGACTGTGAACCTAGAAAAAGTCCAGCTTAATATGGGCTCAACATGAGCCAGCAATCTGCATTTGAAGCCCCAAAACCAACCATGTCCTGGGCTCATCCCCCTGCCTGGGCAGCAGGTCAAGGGAGGGGAATCTGTCCCTCTGCCCTGCTCAGGTGAGACCCCTGCTGCAGAGCTGCTCCAGGCCTGGGCTCTCAGCACAAGGACATGGAGCTGCTACAGCAAGTCCAGGGGAGGGGCACAAAGATGCTCCAAGGGCTGGAGCCCCTCTGCTCTGGAGACAGGCTGAGAGAGGTGGGGGGTTCAGCCTGGAGAAGAAAAGGCTCCAGGGTGACATTACTGCACACACCAGTACCTACATGGGCTGCAGAGACACTTCAGACAAGGGCCTGAAGTGACAGGACAAGGGCAAGAGCTTCCCACTAAAAGAGGGTGATTTTTATTAAATGTACAGAAGAAATTCTTCCCTGTAAAGGTGCTGAGGTCCTGGCACAGAAGCTGTGGCTGCCCCATCCCTGGAGTGTCCAAGGCCAGGATGGACAGCTCTGGTAGAAGGCGTCACTGCCCACAGCCAGGGGTGGAACAAGACGGGCTTTAAGGTCCCTTCCAACCCAGACCAACCAATTCTATAATCCCTGATCTGTCCTGCCACAGTGTCTGGGTAAACAGGATGATCACCAGTAATTCCCCCACATGATTACAATAAAGGTTTCTTGGCAGGTAGCTGGAGTCCAAGTCCAAGCTGTGGCCCCTTCCTCAGCCAGTGCAGAAGGAAGAGAAGAGGCAGCACAAGCCCTGTGCCAGGTCTGCTGCAGGAACACAGACTGCTGATCCACATAACAGCAGGGCTGAGACTTCATGGGCAGGACTAGTTAGAAAACCCTGCCTGCTGAACATCTGGCTAGGCCACAATTCCAACTAAGTCTTAATGACTGCAGCTTGCAGTCCAAACATGACTCAGTGACAAATTAGTATATATAACTGAAAACAATTCAGTGGAAGTCAAGCACTAAGCAGGGCTGTATGTACACACATGTGCAACCTGCAAAATAGTTTGCAACAGCAAGACCTGAAAGTCCTACATGCTTTTTTTTGGATGGTTTTGGATGTTCCTGTCCTCATCACAGCAGATAAACTGGCCTGAAGTAAGAAAGGCAAAGGAGCCCTGTAGGGAGAATCCCATGCATGGAAGGCAGTGATGCTTATAACTAAAAGTGCATGAAGCAGGTAAGGATTTTTTTCCCCAGGTGGAACAAGCTTTCAGTGAAGGGCATTTTTTCCCACATCTAAGAAGTAGGCCTTAACTGAAGAAAACAGGCTCAGGTTACAGATCAGGAACACCTTCCAAAAGGGAAGGTAAGCACATGGTTTAGATTGCTTAGCAAAGCTATCAAGTCTCTCATGTTGTAAATCTCCAAGAATGTGTCAGACAAACCTCTACTAGAGGTGATAGTGGACATAAAGCTGGGAGGGTGGATGATATGGCCTTTTGAGACACTTTCCAAACCAAGCTTTCATTAATGCAGCTGTCCCACTGAGGCAGTTTCATCTGCCTTTAGTTTGGTGAATTTGTGTATCTGTCCAAGCAGCAGAAGATCAGACTGCTGAGATCCTCCCCAAGACAGCAATGGAGAAGCTGTTAACACACCACAGGCTGCCAGGGGAAAAAGCATATTGACACAAGGAGGCAACCAAGCATCAGACTGCAGTGCTAAAACTGCAGAGCACAAATGTCTCCAAGAGCTTTATTGCCAGTCTTTCAGCCTAACAAATCTTCAAATCCAAAGACTTCTTCCCATAACAGGAGGGGAAGAGAACACATACCATAAATCCTCATCATCATCATCAAAAAAACCCCAACCAAAATTTAAAGTAACACTTCATTCCCTGGCATAAAAGGTATAAGAAATTAATGTGAGGAGGAGAAGCTCCCACAGAAAGCCTGACCTCATTAAGCTTGCTGTCTGACCTCTTAAAACACTATCTGTACCTGAAAAAAAAAATGAAACATGAGCAACTGGAGTGCTTTAAGAATCATTAAAGACAGACCATCACAAGAAGAGCTTGAAGATTATAATCTTAAATTTCCAGTTGATGAGTTATACACCACAAGTAACTCAGTGGCATTTCAGTTACTGTATTGCCCCTAAGGTGCCATAGATGTGCTCCCCCCCAGGAAGGAAGGTAAATTTCTTGTTCACAGGGGTGTTTGTCACCCTCCTTGAGCAGAGCAGATGGGAGCTCTGCACTGCTCCTCACATGCATGTTCCTGCACAGCAGGAAACAACCCCCACTGGCCACATTGGTACTGTTTTGAGAATCACAACTCTCAATTTCCTTCCCTTTTCCTCGCCCTTACCCCTGCAGCTGTTCAGTGTCTGGTTAATTTTATCTTATATATAATCACATCTGATTTTATCTTATATATAATCACATCTGATTAAAATGTGGCTATGAACAACAACAGGTGGAATACTTATTACCTAAAACAGTTTAGTTACTGTATTCACTTAGCCTCCATCACCTTCCTACAGCATTCTCCAGAGAGACAGAAGTGTGGATGTAGAAGCAATTTAAGTCATCAAGAAAAACCAAACCAAAGGAATTTAGTCTACCAATTCAAGAGAGTACATTAAAGCTTCCCCAATGCTCAGGCATTTTTTTTGAGATTAAGCCAATTTCTTTCCACCCCAAAAGTTAAATGCATCTGAAAATACTGGCTAATGCATTGCTATAATTCTAGGAACACATTAGAATTCTCCATTAAGAGTTTGTTGGCAGAACACAAAACCCAGCTTCAACCTAATTTAACTTGGGGGTGATACAGATTTACTATTGTAGCTGCACCTTGGACAGCTTTAGCTTTACAGTAAAAACAGAAAATGCACAAAGCCTTATATACATTACCAGAACTGATTAATGCTTAACAGAATGCTCATTAAAAGCTATCAGTTTTTTGCACTATGAAGTTTACCAAATTCTATCATGCTGAGCAGTAAAGCAATACTCAAGCACTAATGTTATATAAAAGGTTTAAACAAAATCACTTCAGTGTATGGCTTCATGCCTGTAAACACAGAAATAGCTCAAATTGCTGGAAGAACAGAAGCTAGCTGGATCAGACAATCTAATAAGCATTATGTTACAGTTTAAAAAAGAACTATAATCATAATCTTACAACAGAGTAATCCTTTCTAGATCAAAAGCAGAGTGGTAATTCTAACAATATAACTGTGGTACAAAGGAGAGCTCAAGTGAAAAACATGGAACCTAAGCATGCCTCTGTTTTCTCTAAAACACTGGAAATGAGGCCTAATTACCTTTGGTAGTGAAAACAGTGAATAGGAATAAATTCTGACAGTTCATTTTCTCATTGATGGTGTTTTCCTTTAGAGATGGACA